GAGAGAGAGAGAGAGAGAGAGGAGAAAGAAAGAAAGAAAGAAAGAAAGAAAGAAAGAGAAAGAAAGAGAGGAGAAAGAAAGAAAGAGAGAGAGAGAGAGAGGAGAAAGAAAGAGAGAGAGAGAGAGAGAGAGAGAGAGAGAGAGAGAGAGGAGAAAGAAAGAAAGAAAGAAAGAGAGAGAGAGAGGAGAAAGAAAGAAAAAGAGAGAGAGAGAGAGGAGAAAGAAAGAAAGAGAGAGAGAGAGAGAGAGAGAGAGAGAGAGAGAGAGAGAGAGAGACCTTCTGCAAAGGACTAAAGAAAAAAACCACCTCTCTGCAAGGGGATAATAGGGGGGGAAAAAACCTCCACAAGGAATGGGGGGGGGTTCCTACTCCCATCTCGAGACTGTTCTTGAAATCTCATTTATCACAACACCAGTGGTACCAAGTGGTTCTATGCAAGTGATCACTAGCTTCCAACCCCTCTTTTGTCTTCCCACATCCACACACACAAAACCCAACTTCCTGGGTGGATTCCTAGCAATGACTAAACCCCACTGACATGTGTGGGGAATGCCCAAAGAAAGTTCAGATTATATTGCGGAACTGGTTAGTTGACAATCCCAGTTGCCCTGCTGTTCTCCCTCCTCCTCTTTACTCCAAAGGGAGGAAAGAGAAGAAAATAAATCCAAATTCTTAATATTACAAATTCCTTTATAATGACTGGCTGTAAGGCTACACCACGGGGAGAGGGAAAACCAGAGAGAGCTGTTCTTTAGTATCCCTAGTGGGATTACCCTGCTTTCCATTTCTAAGTCTATTACCAATTGACAATTTTAAAGACTGTTCAGCTTAAATACTCTACTACAGTGGTTCTCAACCTTTTTAATGCCGCGACCCCAACCGATCGTAAGTCGAGAACTAAACCGGTCGCAGGCTGAGGACTAAACCGGTCGTAAGTCGAGGACTACCCAACCGGTCGTAAGTCGAGGACTTTCCCTGCCCGGGAGCGCCGCACATGCGTGGTTCCGCCCCCTGCGCCGGCCGAGGCGTAGCTGGCAAGCGGCAGAGACGGAGCAGGCCGACCACCAGCTGGCCCAGCCTAAGGGAGGTAAGGCACCCGCCGGAAAAGGGGGAAAAAATGGCGGGCAAAAAAAAATGGCAGACAAAAAAAATGGCGGACAGCCTTGCTTGGCGACCCCCGTGAAATGGTCGATCGACCCCAAATGGGGTCCCGACCCACAGGTTGAGAACCACTGCTCTACTAAGCTATGTATTGTGTGTGAATTGGCTTGTGTGCTCTGAACGCAAAACATTTTGAAATAGCTCTCACATATTCCATCGCTATTGGTATGCTATTTGGGGATGATGGAAATTGAAGTCCCAATCATTGAGAGTAGGGTTTTTCAAAATGTACTTGATGGAGGTTCCATGAGAAACTAAGGTAGACCGTGCAACCAGTTTTCTATCGCTAGCATTTTGTGTCCTGGTCAGGTGTCCTGGGCACTTTTAAAAGAAAATTGGTTCCAAAGGTATTCATTCAGCCCATATTTTTTTTAAAATATCTTTCTGCAATCCAAGGCACATCGTACATACGGAAGCCGATTTAAAAAGCAGCGTTTCTCAATCACGGCAACTTTACGTCGCACGGACTTCAATTCCCAGAATTCCCCAGCCAGCATGAAGTAAAGTCCCCCCGCATCTTAAATTTGCCACGGTTGACGCAGATGAGGTAGAGCTGGCCACGCCCACCCAGTAGGCCACACCCACTCCATCTACACCCACCCAGTAGGCCGCACCCACCCTGGCCACACACCCCCAGGGCAACCGTAATGCTGATGCGGCCCTCAGTGAAATTGAGTTTGACACCCCTGAGGTAAATGAATACACAACTGAATTCAAATACAATGGTCTAAAGCAGGGGTAGTCAACCTTGGCTCTTTTATGACTCGTGGACTTCAACTCCCAGAATTCCTGAGCCAGCTAAGCTGGCTCAGGAATTCTGGGAGTTGAAGTCCACGAGTCATAAAAGAGCCAAGGTTGACTACCCCTGGTCTAAAGGAAAAAAAACCAACACCAACCTTTAGAAGTTTTAAACGGACTTGTTCTTCCTCCAGCGCAGCTTGTTTTTCCCTTTCGTCGACTCTGGTGAGAGAGAGGCCGGTGCTTGCCAGGGAAGAAACTGCATTGGAAAGCGTGGTGGCCCTAGCAAAATGGGATAATAGGAAACCGACTGTTATATATTGTAGACAGGAAAAGGGATTCTGTTGTACTTCATTTACTCAGCAATCACCATGGAAAAGTTCCCTTTTGTGACCAAGGTGGATTTACTGTAGTCTAGAAATTAATGGCTTCCCTCCCTGAATCCTAAAAGAGATTTATACTCTTGGGGATCTTACGTTTTTAAAAGGTTATGAAAGAAGCAACAATAATCTAGTTTAATGAAGAGAATGACGAGGGGGGACATGATAGCAGTGTTCCAATATCTCAGGGGNAACACTTAAAAGGACTTTCAGGCATATTTTTATCCTAAAAGCATTTATTAAGGTTACAGAGATGTCAGTACGGCATGGTGGAAATGCTTAGATCTGAGATTCTTTTCCGTTGCACATACATTCCAGGCATTTTTCCCTCCTCTATTTTGGGGTCATGGTTCACATCTTCCAATTAACTTGGAAGATGTGATTTACTTCCAGTTTCTTTTTCTTTCTTTTACTTTCCTTATTCTCCTCCCCTTTCACTGTTGCCTGATTTAACTATAAAAAATACCAGACAGTTCTGCATATTGTCAAAGCAAGAATATACAGTATTTGCAGCGTTGACAGTCTTTCTATCCGCGGCTGTCAAGGCAGCATCCCACACCATAATGTAATGTCAGAGGACGCTATCTATGGTGGACCGGTAAAAGAACGTCATCAGTCATTGTTCCACTTTGTTCTTTCGCATTTATTAATATTTGCTTCAACCAAAACTGGTGCTGAAGTTTAATTACATTTTATACCAGATTGATACACTGCCTATTTATTAGGCTTTATTCATTCCCAATTACATGCCCCACAGACATGACGTTAACCAAGCTGCTCAAGATAATGTAAGGCTTCAGAGGGATTAAATAGAGCAGCATCGCCAGTTCAGCCTTGAGAACTTGATAGGGTATCTTGTTTTGTTTGGCTTTTATGCAATAAATTATAGGACAGTGGTGGCGAACCTAGGGCACGCGTGCTAGAGGCGGCACTCAGAGCCCTCTCTGTGGGCACGTATGCCGTGCCCCGGAGATGGTGAGGGACTGGCCCCTGCCACCCTGGCCCCGCCCACCCAGTATGCCATGACCACCACGACCACGCCCACACGGCACACGGTGATAAATAAGTGGGTTTTGGGTTGCAGTTTGGGCACTGGGTCTCTAAAAGGTTCGCCATCACTGTTATAGGAGATGCAGTAGCCATTGTGGTATTGGAGTATCCTGGGCCATGAATATTCATAGGGTGCTTTTCAATCACTTACTTGCAGTCAGACTGGTCCCACAGATTTACTGCTGTTGGGAACAATGGTGAACTACTTTTTCCTAGAGTAAATAGGGACTATTAATCTTTATTTTACCCTTTCTACCATCCAACCACCCTCCCTTTCCCTTCTAGCGACGTTTTTAATTAACTATTATGGTCCCAGTAGTGCCAAAGGGAAAAATCAGAAAGACGAGAATGGTGTCACTCCAAGTTGTAAAGTATGGATGTCTTATACAAGCTTGTATCAGGAGTTCAGTAAAATAATCAGCAACCAAAACTCTTGAAATGGCGATTATATCACGGAAGGAAAGCAATGCTAAAGGTTTTGCTTAATAAAAGACAATAACTGAACAATAAGATCAGCCAGAGGTATTTCCTTCAAAAGTCATTGAATCTTCTCTTCTGGAAGAATGATTAATTGCAGAAATAAGTAGACACAAAATTCAAAACTGTTTTTAAAGGGAAAATAGCATCCAGCACTAACACACCATTAGCAATTTCATCTTTGTTCCGCCATCCTTTTTGTAGGAAATAAAAAACTGAAGCCCAGAAGGATCACTACAGATACGGAAGCAGCATAGAAAAAACTGCAGCAACCACGTTTCTACAAATTCAAGTGCAGAAGCTTTTTCTAGATTACACCATTTCAGATGTCCCAAAGGTGCTTTTTCAAAAGGCAAGTGGACTTTTTCTTTTCCCTTGGAGCTGTTTTGCTTCTTATCCAAGAAGCTTCTTCGGTTCTCAGAGAACTGAAGCTTCTTCAGTTCTCAGAGAACTGAAGAAGCTTCTTGGATAAGAAGCGAAACGTCTTCAAGGAAAAACAAAGGAAGTTCACTTGTCTTTTGGGGGAAAAAAACCCACCTTTGTGACAAGGCTGACCTGGATAATTGAGAATCTCCATAGAAACCATTTCATGTCTAGGACGTCCACAAGACCTCTTTATATACACAAACACGAGGGCCAAGACTGGTCTTGCCCTCTAAGGGAGTGTCACACATAATTTCCCATTTGCTGTTTACAAAGCAGAGCAGCTGATGTCAAACTTTGTCAGGCAAAGGAACTTGGCTACAAAAATTAAAATAACGGTAGTCCTCGAGTTACGAGTGTAATGGAGCCTGCCCATTCCACTCGTAACTCGAAAACTCGTAGAGGGAATCGCGTACCTCGAATGAGATCACTCCCTTGCTCGTTAAGATGGACACGGCTCGTTAACTGCACATGAGGGATCTCAGGGTGGGGAAGGCCATGGGGGGGGCTTAATGATGGAACAGGCTCCCAAGGTCTCCCTGGTCCACTAAGATACCTCATGCTTCCCCTTCCCTCCCTGCCCCGCCGGACTCACCTGGAAAAGGGCCGGGGTCCCCTGTGGGGACTGTCCGATCCAGGTTCTGCCCGATCCGGACTGCCCGATCCGGACTGCCCGATCCAGGTTCCGGAGGCCTTTTCCAGGCCTCTGCCGCCCGGATCTTAGGCTGGGGGTTGCTTACGTAGCCCTCCGGCAGTCCGTTTCCGGGCGGCAGTGGCCTGGAAAAGCCCTCTGGAGCCCGGTTCCGGCCGCAGGGGTGACAGCAGAAGCGTCCCCCGACCTCAGATCCGGGCGGCAGCGGACTGCAAAAGGCATCCGGAGCCTGGATCGGGCCACGGGGGAAGGGCGCAAGTGTCCCCCAGCCTCATATCCATGCAGCAGCGGCCTGGAAAAGGCCTCCGATGCCCAGATCCAGCCTCCGGAGGCATGTGGAAGCTTCCACCGGCTTCGGTTCCGTTCTCTGTTGCAGAGAACAGAGACCTAAAAGTACCATGAGATCACGCGAGATCAGTAGCGTGAGATCTCGCCCCACTGATCTCGCGTGATCTTGCGTTACTTTAGGCCTCCATTCTCTGCGAAGGCACCGAAGGCCTGGAGCAGCCAAGAAAGCGAAGGATCTTGATCTTAGCAGAGTGAGTATTGAAGGCCTGGTGCCAAGGGCAGGGGTAGGCAACCTTGGCTCTTTTATGACTCGTGGACTTCAACTCCCAGAATTCCTGAGCCAGCATGGCTGGCTCAGGAATTCTGGGAGTTGAAGTCCACGAGTCATAAAAGAGCCAAGGTTGCCTACCCCTGGCCTAGAGAGACCCGGGGCGGGGGTGGGGAGGGAGGGAGGGAATAACCACGGTGAATGTTACAGAGCCACTGCGGTCACTCGTAAGGGCGAACGACTGCCGTGGTGCGACAACATTCGTAATTTCGGGATTTGCTCGTAAGCACTAGGGGGCGCTCATCACGTAACTTTGAACGAGCGTTAAGTGAACGCTCATAACTCGGGGATTACCTGTATTCAAGGCATATCCGAAGAAGCTACAAAAAGCCTCTGACACATACCTGCTAGCAGCAGTGGAATCTTTGATTTTCTTTCCTTCCAAGGAGGCCAGGTGCTGTTCTAAAGCATCCAGAAGACTACTTGGTGCCTACAAGACAATTCATCAAAATGATTAGAAAATCCAAAACATTTAATGCCGACCTTCCCAGTAATGTGGACATTTTGTAAGTCGTGGTGGCCTAGTGGCTAGAATGCAGTACTGCAGGCTAACTCTGCTGACTGCCAGCAGTTCGATCCTGACAGGGCTCAAGGTTGACTCAGCCTTCCATCCTTCCAAGGTGGGTAAAATGAGGACCCAGATTATTGGGGGCAAGATGCTGACTCTGTAAACCGCTTAAGAGTGTGCTGTAAAGCACTGTGAAGAGGTATCTAAGTCTAAGTGCTATTGCTATTGTAAGTCCCTAAAGATCTGGCAAGCCTGTTGTTATGGCCAAAAACACAACAAAAACGATGAAAAAAACATTAAAAGCAATAAAACCCATTACAAAAGCATAAACATAATCTTCAGGATTATTGGTTTTGTAACCCTATACTTGCTGCCTAGTTGTAATTGCAAGGTTGGCAGCAATATAAAGTCATTATCATCATCATCATCATCATCATCATCATCATCATCATCCTCCAGTGATTAAAATGTATTAAATAGAATGTGGGATTCCATTATATTGTCAGACACGGATTTAAAAAAAGATCATAAATTTAAGAAAAAAGCAGATAAAGTAGTACATTTAAGAATTGGCATTTATTCCACATTCCAAGGAATAACATTTTAAAGCAGTTACTACTTAAGCCAAATATTAATTACTATAAATCTCTGTCATCCTTTCTTGGTTCTTGGCAATTATATACTGTACAGAGGTGTTGTTGTTGTTTTTTAGCTTAGTACGAAAATTCAAAATTTTATTTCCATTCAAGAACGTAGCACTTTAAGGAAAAATTTTAAAAAATAAACAAATATATCCCCACCTCTGTCATCACAATGACATGCGGCAACAGAGGTTTAAAGTAAAACAAAAATATCAATAACAAAGCCACAAAATATAAACCAAAAGGGGGAAATGGCAGACAAGAATAAAAACTATCAGCCCCCTCCCCCCAGTTTATTAAGGATCAACCATGAAGAATGTAAAAATTGCCTATGCAAAAGTTGAACCATGGGTAAACGTGCAGATTTTAATCGCCCGGTTTTTATACCCAAAAATTCTCCATTCTACAAGTATGATGAAAAATCAATACATTTGAAATTACGCCAAAATTGTCTTTTTTGAAAACTCAAGATGGCATGGCCTTTGAACTATGGTGCTGGAGAAGACTCCTGCGAATCCCCTGGACTGCAAGGTGATCAAACCGGTCAGTCCTAGAGGAGATTAACCCTGACTGCTCTTTAGAAGGGTAGATCCTGAAGTTGAAACTCAAGTACTTTGGCCACCTAATGAGAAGGAAGGACTCACTGGAGAAGAGCCTGATGCTGGGAAAGATGGAGGGCAAGAGAAGAAGGGGACGACAGAGAACGAGGTGGCTGGATGGAGTCACTGAAGTAGTAGGCGTGAGCTTAAATGGACTCCAGAAGATGGTAGAGGACAGGAAGGCCTGGAGGAACGTTGTCCATGGGGTCGCGATGGGTCGGACACAACTTCGCAACTAACAACAACAACCAAGATAATAATTAATAATAATGATTTACCTGAGAAAGATCTGGTATGTCTCCTCTGTCTATCCCCACTTGCTGCAAGAACAAAGAGATAGAATGAGATAAAGGCCTCAACCACATTTTGACTAAAAACAAGTTCATTGGCGATTATATCATAAAAGAAGGATGATTGACACAGTGAACAGTATTACAGAAGGGAAAAAACCTGAAGACGACAAACTTTTCACTGTGTGAGATGAAGAGTACGTATCTGTAATCCCTGTTGTAGTACACTACAATATATTGCTATCAATATATTATAATGTATTACAATGTACAGGTAGTCCTCGATTTAAGGCCACAATTGAGCCCACAGTCTCTGTTGCTAAGCGAGACAGTTCAGTGAGTTTTGCCCCATTTTATGACCTTTATGACCTTTCTTGCCACAGTTGTTAAGTGAATCACTGCAGTTGATAAGTTAGCAACCCGGTTGTTAAGTGAATCTGGCTTCCACATTGACTTTGCTTGTCGGAAAGTCGTAAAAGGGGATCACGTGACCCTGGAATGCTACAAGCGTCATAAATATGAGTCAGCTGCCAAATGTCTGAATTTTGATCTTGTGACCATGGAGCAATGGTCCTAAGTGCGAAAAATGGTCGTAAGTCGCTTTTGTCAGTGCCATTGTAACTTTGAACGGTCATTAAATAAATAGTAGTAAGTCGAGGACTACCTGCAATGCACTACAACTACACTACAACCGCTAGTGTACATGCTGACAACTACAAAGGTATTGTAGTCTTGAAAGTTCTACTATCCTTTACGTTTAATATTTTAACACAGATACGCAGCAAAGATCAAAATGTCTTAACTCATCAAAATAATAAAAACGACGAACATTTTGTGAGCAAGACCATTTATTTTAAGCAAACAGGCACATTCAGATTAAAACCCAATGGATCCTGGAGCTATAATACTGGCAGAATTGCAAATGTGCACATTTCTTTGGATTGCTACTATGAGAATCAATAACCTACAAAAAATATGTGGGAACAGAAGCGTTGCTTGAGCAGGGTCTGTAAGATTATCTGGGACACTACACATCCTCTTCACAACCTGTTTTCCTTGTTACCTTCTGGGAGGAGGGGGCTTCGTGGTATCCGTAGCAGAACATCCAGATTCAGCCATAGTTTCATTCCATACAGTATTAACTTTGTGAACTCTCAAGCTTCCTCCTTCCGTTATATATTCAAGATGGACAGTATTTAATATTTGTTATGTATATGTAGGGGTGTGGGTCTATACATATGTTATATATTGTATGTTTAGGTGTGTGTCATGTATATGTTTCATTTTGAGAGCGGGCAACTAAATTTCATTTTTGATGTGTGCCGTTGTGCCCACAGTAAAAAAATGACAATAAAAGTTATCTTATCTATCTTCTTTTCTTTGCCAAGCCTCTTTTCCAGAGAGAGGTTAAACTCAGGAAGAACATTTTTAACTTCCCGACAATCTGCTTCGCGTTCTTAGATGTCCAATGAAAAATCTGCAAGTCCCAGCATGCTACATTAAACAGTAATAGAAACATCTGCTTTTTTTTAATGGGGTGGCCCTTTATTGTGGCAGACTGGCATATGCAGGTCCCTTTGCTGCTGCTAAGAAGGAAGCCAAACCATATTGTTCCAATGAACTTTCAATTTGAACCATGCAGTTGACTAACATGTTCATTGTTAAGCGCTTGACCATAATCATTATTATGATGGTTTACTCCTTCTCTGTCAAAAGCCCTCAGTGGCTTGGAAATGGGACGGCACAGTAATGAAATGCAGATATTAGTTAGGACCCTCCCTTGAACGTTCTATGCTTTTCACAACAGATTCAGCCATTTTCAGTCAACAAGTTGCCCAGATAATATGGCAATACAATAATAAATTTTAAAGATGATTCCTATTATGTAAGAACACTTAGGATTGTGTATCAGCAGTGTTGGAAAGCAGCCAACTTGAATGAAATATTCACAAAATCTAAATCTGCACTAATATTAATCTTCCCAATACTTAAATTGGATTTTTCTTCAGGGTGGTTTAATCTAAGCCAGTGTTTCTCAATCTTGGCCATTTTAAGATAGGTGGACTTCAACTCCCAGAATTCCCCAGCCAGCCATGGCTAGGGAATTCTGGGAGTTGAAATCAACCTATCCTAAAGTGCCAAGATTGAGAAGCACTGATCTAAGCTTTCAATGTAATTTTTAAACACTCCATAAATTCTTGACAATAATATCCAGTCAAATTATAGTAAATAATAAAATAGTAAAAATATTCTTTATGAACTAAGCAATTTTTACCTCTGCAACTTTGAGAAACTCAGAAATTCTTGCCATTCTAGTCAGAAACTTCTTATATATGTCAAGGGCTTCCTTGCATTGATTCTTTTTCATGTCAAAGTATTTTTCTGCAGAAGGAATTTTTTTTAAATGACAACAGTCAAGATAATCATCTATTTACAGCAAAAATCTGTATATTACACAATTACAAAGATCAGAGATGTTCACAAATCTTCACTTTATTAAAATTTAAACATCACAAACATTTCCTTGCAGTCTGACAATGTATTATGAAGATCTGATGCACCAATAACAGTTCCAAAATAAGAAAGAGTGGGATGTGAGCTGGAATTAAATTCAAACAGGTAATTACTTAAAATTAGAACTCTAAAAAAGCCCCTGTTTATACTAAATACTAAAATGAAATTCCACAGCATAAATATATATTTAAGCTGCTCTAAAAACACCACCAAAATTACCCTTAAATTAAAAAACGCTATATATACATACAACAAATGGAAAATTTTTATCCAAGGCTTCATTAAAACTACTACTTGCTCTAGCTTTTATCATCTATGTGTGTGACTTGTATCTGTTTATTCCATTTTCTCTGTCAATCACAACTACCACCCTGGTCTTTAAAACATCAGTTTTCAGATCCCTATTTTGCACCATACAATCTAACCCTGGTGGCAAATCATAGGTTCTTAGCAAACACCACCACTTTATCTGCGCACCAAACTACATTCACGTCTTCAATCAGCACAACTCAAGTGAGTGGTTTCTTACACACTTCACATAATTGCATGTAAAATTGCATGTTTTTTTACATATTAATTCATAAACACATTCAATAACGAAGGGGACTTTTTGCTCCGTGCTCTCTATTCCACAAATTGCCTTCTAAATATTCAATTAAATATGTGCTTTATTTCCATCATATACTGCTCTGTTCCATAACCAACACTTAAACCGTATTAATATCAAATATTCCATAGTTCAAACCTATTCAGGTTGTCATATGCTTCCACTAAAGACACAGTACACTTTTAAATCTATAAATTTCTGAATGACCAGCTGACAGGCAAAAATCTGATCTGCACACTCAATATCTGATGTAGAGTGGAACTGCACTTCTCAAATTGTGTTCATTATCACCTCTTCTACAATTTTAAACAAAATTATGCCCAATACCTTCCTTAATTTTAATGTTACCCAATTCCCAGGCCAGATGACCTAGTATGCATTTGGGGCTTGCATGTAACTTGCTGGCAGGTAGTTCCACTTAAGTTAATTTTACAGTGCTAATGATAATCTATGCCTTATTGTATCCCAGACCTGTCCAGCTGCAGAAAATTAGTAAGTAAAGAATGTACCAGTTCTGTTGCATCTGCAACAATTCTGAGAATATCAAGAACAGGGCAAGAAGACACTTTATTTTCTTTATTGTTGCTCTGCACACACAGGTAGTCTTGACTTATGACAGGCCAAAGTTCCAACAGACACCCCCCCCTCCCAAAGGGACTTATAACCCAGTTCTGAAGTTACAACTTGCTCCCTGCTAATGGTAACATGACTGCATTTTGGATACTCGGCAACCGCTTCGCATTTATGGCATCTGCATTGCCCTGCAGTCACATGATCATGATTTACGACATTTTAGCCGGAACTGGTGTTTACTTCCAGTTTCCAGCAAAATTCACCCAACAGCGAACAATGGGTTCAACCATTGCAAAAAAAGGTTGTAAGAATAGATCTGGTCCTGGGGTGCCCAACTTTATCACCATAATTGCCAGGCACAATTACAGTCGTAAGTCGAGGACTACCTGTAGTCTAAAAAGCAGAAATTAGAAATTCAACTGATCGAGAACGAGACAAACTACAAACTGATTGTCGTATTTTCCAGTCTTCATTTCCTCTTTACATGGAGTTGATTCATAGTGACTAGGGAAGTATGAATTTTGATTATAACATTAAATTCCATACACTGGGTGTAGGATATTCCCTATTAAATGGACCTCTGTAGCTTACTCTACTCGGAAACGTGGCACCTATCCCTAATCAATCTAACAAACCAAGGTTATGACCCTTGAGTTCAGATCAAATCTATTACCAATATTGGCAGATTCCATAAATAAGGAGCGAAGAGAAAACGCCATTTGATTATGTGATGATTGGCCATAAAGAAAATTATAATTTAAATAAGCGACTGTTCGTGCCCAAAATTATTCTGAAGCAGCTTGCGTTCAGGATTATTTCTGTTTACATGTAAAGAAAGCCACTTTTAAAAGCTGGTCTGAAATTGTCTTGCAAAAATTCGAAAATGAAATCCACAATCTTACCAAGTATAAGGAGTAAGTGACTGAAGAAAGTGCTTACCCAGCAAATTAATAATCCCTTCGTTATATGCTGCAAAAAGTCTAATGGCATCTTTGAAAAGGAGCATGAAGGCTGCATTGATTACACCATTTGTGAGTTCATTGCTGTTGACCTATCAAAAAAGAAGAAGAAGCAGCTAAGCAAACTGGAAAAAAAACATCCATGCTATCTTCAGAGATCCCCAACTTTTCCGGGTCTGCAGACTGGCAGGAGAGGCAGCTGGAGTGGGATGGCAGCATGCCTGGCTGAGGAATTCTGGGAGTTGAAGTCCACAAGTCATAAAAGGGTCAAGTATGAAGACCCCTGGCCCAGAGCAATTATATTTCCCAGCTTTGATTGTTTTCATCTGTACGATTAACAGAAGAACTCAGTGGAATAAAGTCTGGTCTTGCTACCTGGGCCTACTAGCACTTCTGGGTTTCTACTCCATTCATATATCAAGTTAACTATGTTTAAAGGAGCTGAAACAATTGTAGGAATGCTCCACCTTACATTTTGAAGTTCAAACCACGGTATAGGTTCTAAACAGTGGTAACACAAACCATGTTTGAATACCATTTCAACCCAGCTACTAATTCTGAACTACTGCCGATATACGAAGTCTATTTTCTCTAACCCAACAGTGCACCGTAAGTACTTCACCAATATTATTTAGCTACATGCATATTTTTATGTCATGCAGTATGTACATTCTGTAATATATATATTTTGGAAGAACTACCTCTCCATACACATATAAGCCAACATAGTACTTGTAGGCAAACATAGGTTTTTACTCCTACAAAGAAGAGGGCATCAAACTATTCTCCAAAGCACCAGAGGGCAGAACAAGAAACAATGGTTTGGAAACTGATCAGAGAGAAAAGCAACCTGGAATCAAGGAGAGTGAGGACAATTAACCAGTGGAACAGCTTGCCTCCAGAAATTGTGAGCGCTCCATCACTGGAGGTTTTTAAGAAGAGACCAGACATCCACCTGTCTGAGATAATATAGGTTCTCCTGCTTGAGCAGGGGGGAGGGGAGGGGTGGACTAGAAGATCTCCAAGGTCCCTTCCAGCTCTATTCTATTCTATTCTATTCTATTCTATTCTATTCTATTCTATTCCTATTCCTATTTAACAGGATGTTTAGATGCCATTAAAGAGACATACGTTAAATCAGATAAATTCAGTAAGCTGAAATCAATACCGCACGATTAATTCTGATCATTTAAAAGCTCCTGTCTAATATTCCTTTATGGGTAGCTAAAATGACTTACGTTGAAATCAAGCAGTGCATCCATCTGGTTTTGTATAATTGGTACAGTTTTTAACAGTTTTTCTGTATTCATTGTCCTCATGACTCCATCAGCTCTATTAAAAAAGAAAAGGAAATCGTTAGCTAACTAGATGGATTTGGTATAACGCCTGCCACATATGTTTCCAGAGTTTAAGAGTGGTCTTGTTTTTTTTATTTCCTTCTCCTCATGCATCCACATAAGGATAGTGATTTGGACTGGGCTTAATTCCTGAACCTCCCTGCCTTTACCCAATAAAACTATTTAGTTACGGAGTTTGGAATTTCTAAAATACACAAACTGGGGGCTAGATTGGGATTTTAAGGACCAGATATGCTAGTAGATGTTCAAGAATTATCCCCCACATTCTTCAACTTCCATCCAGTTGGAAGCTCTGGTTGTTAGTCTGCAACAGTCTAAAGTTTGCACATGCCTACTTCCTGACGCCACTTGTCCCAAAGATGCTTTTTTCAGGAGGCAACTGGACTTTCTAAAAAAATTTTCTCTTTGAAGACGTTTTGCTTCTCATCCAAGAAGCTTCTTCAGCTCTGAATGAATAGTGGGGAGTGGAAGGATTTATACTCCTTGCAGAAAGCTGATGATTTGCATTCTTTTGGAGAGTCCTTGAGGCCACCTGGAGGTTTATCTGTGTCCTCAGGTCACCTGAGTGGTGCAAATGGGGATGGAGCCTTCTTGGAACTGCTGAAAGGACCGTGTTGTAGACCGGAGATAGATGACGTCGGATCCCTCCCCTTCATCTATTTTAATCAGGAAATTTATAAATCATAAATTCCATGTTTTTCATCAAAAAGTTCAGAAGGATTTGCAGTCACTACTAAATGAAGTACAGGGAGTCCTCAACTTATGACCACAATTGAGCCCCAAATTTCTGTTGCTAATTGAGACATTTGTCAAGTGCGTTTTGCCTCATTGTTACAACCTTTATTGCCACAGTTGTTAAGTAAAATCACTGTAGTTGTAAAGTTAGCAACATGGTCCTTAGATGAATCTGACTTTCCCACTGAGTTTGCTTATCAGAAAGTCATAAAAGGTGATCGATCACCTGGGACCCTGCAACATATCATAAACACATGCCAAGCGTCCCAATTTTGATCACGTGACACTGGGGAAATGCTACAATAGTCGTAAGTGTGAAAAATGGTCATAAGTCACTTTTTTCAGTGCCGTTGTTAACTTCAAACAATCACTAAAGGAACTGTCGTACATCGAGGACTACCTGTAATTAATCTGTCTCTAAGGAAGCAAGTTAATTTTGCCTTTTCTCTGCTCGTTTCATCACCTTCACTAACTATTCCTCCATTGTGGACATACAGAAACTTTGTATGTTTACACAAGAATTATAGCAAGGATCATATATAAAAGTAATTTTCCACAGATTTTTCTAGCTGTCTTCCCATTAATTCCAACAAAAAAAATGTTCTGGTTTCAGTTGAATCTTTGTCTTCAAAATTCTTTTTTATCTGTTTATGCATGAACTCAAAATTTTCTGGATTTGTTTTTGTTTTTCTTACAAGTCCATCAAACATGATAAAATGACTGTTCGTGTTGTCCGTATTTCTAACATAAATCTGAGGTGCTTTTATATCTTGTAGACAATTTTTCTGGAGCCACATACCAATGATGCATCATTTTGTAAAAATTCTCTTTTAGGTTATAACTTAATGTTAATGTCAAGATTTTTAAGCACTTTTTCCCCGTTATGGGCAACAATATCCCCCAAATTCTTGGTCCATTTTATCATATACTTTTATTTGTTTCTCTCCATTTCTAATTTCAGCAAGAATTATACATTTCACTGTATATTAATTTTTGGAAGCTAATCTTGCTGTTGATTTTCACTGCTTGCATGCCATTATTGTTTTGGTTTCAAATTGTTGCATATTACCAGGGTGGACTTTTAGCAGGGGTGATATAAGAGTTATCTACAATAGTACTAACGTTATTTGTTTAAGCATTTTCTAGACCAGATTTCAGAAAGGATCAATTCCTTGAAGCTTCGAAAATTATTTCATACTCTTTGAATTTTTATATTCTAAATTATTCTGCATGCTTAAAGCAAACAAGTAACGGAATCACCCCTGTGAGATACTTACCCTCTTTTTACTTTTGTAAAGTCAAAAGCCACTTGTCTGTAGGAAACTGCTTTCTCATTCAAATATCTGCTATATCTCCTAATAAATGTGGACATATCATATCCTAAAGGAAACAAACAGAAAGCAAGCTATTTCTTATGTAAAACCAGATTAATATCAAAGAGGTACATTAAGACATTCAAAGGATTGCCAACTAGCAAACTGACATATTTGAATCAGTGAGATAATTATTAACAGCATGCATGTTTTGCCATAAACCAAGTCAGATATTTTGCCTTGAGTTCCCCCATTCTGCTCATTGACGTCAAAGCTGGGACGATAGTGGTTTACTTGATTAGCTTGAATTAAACCGCAATACATGTAGTCCTCAACTTATAACTGTAATGGGCCTGCCCATTATGATCATAAGTCGGTAACACTTGCAAAGTGGGTCACCCACGTGACCGACCCAATTTTTATATCCTTTTATGGGGCAGTCATTAAATGACTACAGCAATCATAAAGCAAATGCGACAATCATAAAGCAACCCCAGTTTGCTGAAAACTGGACGTAAAAACTTTGCAAAAAAAAATAATCATAAAATGCAGTCACATGACTGTGGGATGCTGCAAATGGCTTTATATATGGACTAGTTGCTGAGCAGTCATGTGACCCTGGGGGACAGCCTGAGGGGGGTGTGGTGCATTCTAAGTTCAAATGGTCACTAAGTGATCGGTCATAAGTCAAGGACCATCTATATAAAATCTGCCATCTTTCTCTTTCTCAATGCATTTTGAGTGATTTGGAGCTGCGGCAGGTTTCCTTCACCATCGCTACCTTTATCCAACATTATAGTACGTGATGGCGAACCTTTTAGAGACCGAGTGCCCAAACCAAAAACCCACTTATGTATCGTCGGGTGCCGGGTGGGTGTGGCCCATTGGGTGGGTGTGGCTCATTGGGTGGGCGTGGCTTCGGTGGTAACACAGGCTGGATGGGACTAAAAAGTTCAATCAATCAATCCAAGTTTTTTTTCCTGCGAGAAGTTGAAATTGATTGATTGAACCTTTTTTTTTTTTTTTGCACATGGCGGCGGAGGCGAAAAATGAAATGGTTTTATAAAACCCAGCTGAAGGCCTAGGACTGGGGCAACGGCGCACGTGCCCACAGAGAGAGCTCTGCGTGCCACCTGTGGCACTCGTGCCATAGGTTTGCCACCATGGTTATAGCACTTGCCCTCAATCTTTTCCTTTTTCTATTTAACCTTCAAACTTTCCCAGGATCTAACTAACTTTTTCCTACCTTGTGAGCAATCGCTAAAAAGCAAGAAGCTACATGTAAGCCTTGATAAGTGATGCAGCAAAAACTTTCCTTGCTGTTTCTTGTGGATTTACTGGTTTTTGAGGCTGGTGCTTTTTACTGATTGTCATTAATATACCGAATCGAGAGTAGAAAACTAATCTTAAAACGGAGTGAAAATGCAAGAGAAAATAATTTCAGGCTCTTTTTGTTTCATGGATTATTTATTTTAATCTATATTCTATTTCTCTATTCAAGCAAGCACTCCAGGCAATTAATAACGTAAAAATATTTGTAGAGATGTAAATGCGTTCATTGAATAAAGGGGCTTTTAGTTTCCATCCTAATGCAAATCAGCTTCTTTTGGTAGAGCTTTTCATCGGACATAAAGACACAAAAGACTGAGAACTAAAACTGTAAAATACTGTTCAGAAAGTTAGGGATTATTTGATACCGATCGAATAATTTACCTTGCAACCCACTTTTGTCCAAGAAATTGCTCAAGTTAAACAATGTGTTTCTGGAAGCCAGGTACTGGGTAAAACGCTGGAAGGAATAAAATGATTCAGTTAGTCAGCTAGAATTGTACGTGACTCAATACATTTCTCACTGCTAATGGAGTTTAATACTCTGATAATCCGCTATATGCATGCAGTCTGTCCCACCAGGTTAAACAAAACCAACAGAGAACCAACAGAGTTCTCTGGAAACGAATATTGGGAGAAAAATTGCTAGCCTGCAATCCCATAAAAAGTGATACTAATTGCAAATCTTGTCAGAGGAACTAAAACTTTCTCTGAAAGTAAGAGACACAGCTAATTTGCTTTAAAATTTGATCGTTTCACCACCGGCCTACTTAGAACAATGCAGACGACTGTATGCATTTAAGGCAAGCCACTTTAGTCACTTAATCAGTCACGATTTAACCATGTGGTTAATGATGCTCATATCTAAGCCCATTAATTTCTCAGTCTTGACTAGCCCACTGCTTCCTGTTTCTTTGCTGATAAAGTTCTCAATAATGCCAAAGACATGAATTGCACGGTATAAATAAAACTATTGTAGTGTTGACGTATGAGGTAAGGAGTTTGTTTAATACTCCGGATATATTTCTCAGAACGATATAGCATCACAGTTCTGTAAATATATTAGTCTGCCCCACCCCTTCTGCCAGGAAAATTATATACCTGAGACACAAGTTAGTACAGGCAGGATTAAATAGCTAAACCAAAAGGCATTGTTTCTGCTCACAGAATTATAATTGGAGCATTGTTCTACTTTTAATTAGGACAACTGGAACTTGTTTTCAGAGAAAAGGGTTTAAGGAAACATTATTCTTTAGGAGAATGAAAGCCAAAACTCATGGAAAGACAATTCACATTACAGAATCTCAGAAGAGATTCTGAATATAGTCCTCAACATAAAACCATAACTGAGGCTGCCCATTAAGGTGGCATGTTGTGATGGCCATGTCGTGTTGTCATGTGACCAACCCAATTTTATGACCTTTTTTGTGGCACCATTAAATGAACATGGCAGTCATTAAGTGAACTCAGTGTTTGCTATGGCACGGTTTGGCTAAAAACCAGAAACAGCTGTCAATGTTTGGCAAAACCAACATAAAACACACGTCATGTGATTGTAGGATGCTGCAAATGTGGCCGGGTTGCCAAGCAACCAACATGTGGTCACATGACTGTACTGGGGGGGGTAGCATGACAGTTGGAACTTCAAGTCAAGGGGTGTAGTACTTTTTTTTTCCTCAGCTGAATTCATATAGAATTATATACATGATTAACATGGATGGTTACCTTCCTATTATATATGATGTTGCTAAGTCCACATGTCTTTAGAAATTATGAATAAGCAATTGTTAAGAGTTACTTTTTTCCTGAACCCTGTCCCCTCTTTTATTTACCATGGTTTAATCATATAATAAATCATAAACAAGTACCATTCAAAATACAATATACTTCCAGACTGCTTTTTGTTTTAGCACCTTTAAACTAGGGCGCAAGTACACTTGCTACATCAAAATACACCACTCTTCCTTTGTGTGTAAATTGGATTGTGATACATTCTGTCATTTTGCTCTCCGACATGTATTTGCTGGCCCTTTCTTTATATTTTCATTGTTTTTGAACTAGTTTTCTTCTCCCTGATGGAAAAGCAAGCCACCAGGGAGAAAAAAAAAAGGACCCAAATTTATCTCCAAAGTAATACTCCCCAGCCTAGCAACCAGCCACAATTGCTGATAATTATATAGGAAATGGGGTCCGGCATGTTTCAAAGGCACTAATTGAAGCGTAAGAGAAGCAGGTGTTACCTCATTTCCATGCACCATGAGATGGTGAGTTGTGATGAGAGATTTGAAGACTACCACCCAGCTACTATTTGTTGTCCTTTCGAATAGGCTGTCTGCCAACTGTGGGATGTTTACGTTCATGTCATTTGTACATAGTATTAAATCTGAAAAAAGAAGGAAATGCATATGGATATTTCAAGCAAACCCTACCAAGCGCCATTTAATTAAGAAAAGCTTCTTAGTCCTCCAGGATCTCATGAGCCGTTCAGAAGAGAACAAACAAACAAACAAACACTGGGCGCTATCTAACAAAATGAAATTCAGTGGTGAAAAAAGTAAGGTTCTACATTTAGGCAAGAAAAACCAAATGTAAAGGTATAGTATAGGGGGTACCTTGCTCAATAGTAGTAACTGTGAGAGGGATCTCGGAGTCCTAGTGGACAATCACTTAAATAGGAGCCAGCAGTGTGTTGCAGCTGCCAAAAAAGCCAACACAGTGCTAGGCTGCATTAACAGAGGGATAGAATCAAGATCACGTGAAGTATTAATACCACTTTACAATGCCTTGGTAAGGCCACACTTGGAATACTGCATCCAGTTTTGGTCACCACGATGTAAAAAAGATGTTGAGACTCTAGAAAGAGTACAGAGAAGAGCAACAAAGATGATCAGGGGACTGGAGACTAAAGCATATAAGGAACGGTTGCTGGAATTGGGTATGTCTAGTTTAATGAAGAGAAGGACGAGGGGGGACATGATAGCAGTGTTCCAATATCTCAGGGGCTGCCCCAAAGAAGAGGGAGTCAAGCTATTCTCCAAAGCGCCTGAAGGCAGAACAAGGAGCAACGGGTGGAAACTAACCAAAGAGAGAAGCAACCTAGAACTAAGGAGAAACTTCCTGACAGTGAGAACTATTAACCAGTGGAACAACCTGCCTCCAGAAGTGGTGAATGCTCCAACACTGGAGGTTTTTAAGAAGAGACTGGGCAACCATTTGTCCAAAATGGTGTAGGGTTTCCTGCCTGAGCAGGGGGTTGGACTAGATGACCTCCAAGGTCCCTTCCAACTTTATCATTATTATTATTATTAAATGTTACTAACTGTGCCTCTTCTATACAATACGTTCTAGATCCCATGCAAAAGAATTCTTGTGCAATCCTCTAGAAAAGATCTAGAAAAGTCTCTCCAAAGAAATGAACTGAAGGCATTCAAGAAATAATTGCCACATTGAGAAAAGCAGTGCAGGTGGTCCTCAACATACGACCACAATTGAGCCCGAAATTGGTGTCACTAAGTGAGAAATTTGTTAGGTGAGTTTTGCCCCAGTTTATGACTTTTCTTGCCACGTTTGTTAAACGAATCTCTGCGGTTGTTAAATTAATAACCCGGTCGTTAAATGAATCTGATTTCCCCGTTGACTTTGCTTGTCAGAAGGTTGCAAAAGGGGATCACGTGATCCTGGGACACTGCAAATGTCACAAATGTGAGTCAGTTGTCAAGCATCTGAAGGTAAATCACGTGACCATGGGGATGCTGCAAGGGTCATAGGTGTGAAAATTGGTCATAAGTCACTTTTTTCAGTGCCATTATAAGTTTGAACCGTCACTAAATGAACTATTGTAAAGCGAGCACTACCTGCAGTAGTCGGAAGACAAAAATGAAGTAAAATCATGAGCTGTACTACTCTAATTTTTACTGCCAAATTAAACTCCCGATGAAATTCACAGGGAAGAAATTGGTTTAAATCAGGAAGCTCAACCGGTGGATCATTATCTTCACATAATTTCTCAGCACCTTCCTAAAAGATTTAAATTTATATCAACAAAACACCGCTTTTTAGACATCTAACATCTATTATGATAACATCTATCGTGCTACTGCTTGCAAAAGTGAATTATTCACTCAAGACATCTGCTTAGAAAAGCTTGTGGTTGAAAGCGGGAGAATTACATTCACAAGAAGGTAGAAGAATTGGGAGTATTTGATCTCTTGTGGAATTGTCTTAATGTGGCAAACTGCAGGCCTAAGGAGGCAATCGCCTTTTACAGCCTTGTTAGCAACTTGATAGTTAGAAAAACAGGTTTCTAGTCCTCTGTCAGCATCTCTTCTATTTAAATATGTGCCATTCTGGTTCCCTAGAGCTCCCATGCAAGCCCAGAAAAAGTCAAGGAAGTGCAGACAAATGCAGTAAATCACACATCCACACCCTGCTCCAAAGTGCTTCTTTGCTTCAGAACATACATAATGTTCTATGTATTAGTAACTTCTAATTTATGAAATTGCTCAGCATTATCCATGGGTATTGAGGCTCTACTAGAACCTGCCTCCACAAAGTAGATGAGTAGAGGAAAAAGCAGTCTTGACAATTGGGAATAATTAAGCTGGTTTACACCAAGACCAATAGGAAGAATTAAGTTACTCTATAACAAGGTTAGAGACTTACAGCCACTGATTTACTTTAAGTGATTCAGCTGGTTAAAAATGTTAAAGAAGCATTACAGCCATTTAAGACAGTTGCACTGCCAAGTTTAGTCTAATGGTTTTGATGTCAGAAAGAAGAAGAGGAGGAGGAGGAGGAGGTGGAGGAAGGCTCAATAGGAAAAGGAAGGAATATGTATATGCAACTATTTACAGGAAAACCTTATTCTTAATATCTTCTGTGGATGAAATTTCTTTATGTGGAGGATTTTTTGTTTCCACAAATAAAGTATTGGAAATATACATTGTCACCACTTCCTGAACGAGCCCAAATTGCTTCCTGCCTCTGATTTTCATGACTAAATGCTAGCTTTCAATCTTGGTCAACCACACAATTCATTGAAAAGGCTGGCTTTGTTCATTTATGGAATTTATATCCTGCCTTTTCCCCAAATATGTTCAAAGCCTGACCAAACAATAAAGCACTATTATTAAACACAATTAGATGCATAAACATATTAAAACACAATGAATAAAAAAGCAATGTCCAGCATGTCTCAGAACTTCAGCATTCACGTCTGCTTCCACAAAGACTTTGTTTCAATAAAAACGCTTTAATATGCGGTCAGTTTCCGAAGAGTAATTTGGATTTGGCTTTTCAGTTTCCCATCTTCTCTAGTTTAGGCCAGTTCATAAGAAACGCCATGATGAACTAAATTTATAATCTCAATTAAACCAAACTGGAGTTCATTAGTTTGCAATGTAAGGCTTACAATAATTTGGAATTAAAATGAACATCTCAAACTCAACCTGCATTTGATTCTATGTCAAGACGCTTCGTGGACAAAACAATTCATGGGATGTTCCTAAGCAGCAGTATATGTTGCCTTTTAAGATAGTCTTTAGCTTAGAACTCAGCTTAATAAAAGAGGATGAGCATGTTGCACGTGCCCAAAATGTATCAACGTTTGTGGGCATTATCCTTGCTATTTGCTGGGATTGCTATGTGTGACACAGGCAAGGGAAACACTGAAATCTAGTCTATACTTTTGCTGTACAGGTAGTCCTTGACTTACGACAATTGAGCCCCAAATTGATGTTGCTAAGTGAGAAATTTGCTAAGTGAGTTTTGCTCCATTTCACCACTTTTCTTACCACATTGGTTAAGTGAATCACTGCAATTGTTAAATTAGTAACACCTTTGTTAAGTGAGTCTGGCACCCCCCTTGACTTTGCTTATCAGAAGATGATTACATGATCCCTTTACATTACATTATGACATTCATGTCGTAAATATGAATCAGTTGCCAAGCATGAGTTTTGATCACATGACCATGGGGATGCTGCAATGGTTTTATGTGTGAAAAACGATCATAAGTCACTTGTTTCAGTGCCGTTGTAACTTCAAATGGTCACTAAATGAACTGTTGTAAGTTGAGGACTACCTGTATTACTAAAGGCATTATGTGAAAGGAATTCTGGGAGTTGAAGTCCACGAGTCATAAAAGAGCCAAGGTTGCCTACCCCTGCACTAGACCAAACTGGCTCTATTCTATTAGACCTATTCATGTTTATACGTAGCAATAAAATATATATAAAGGTAAAATGTTTATTGTTAAAAAGCGTTAAATGTTTGTTATAAACACCTGAACTACAGAGGGATGCAGCGACAATGACAAACACTGTGGGACAGACCATTTCCTGATAGCAACAGAACTGGATCTGTGGGACAAGTCACCATGGAAGAGGAAATAAAAACTAGAAGGAAAGAATGACTGAACAGAAAGCATGAGTTCTGTAAGGAATTAGAAGACAAAATTAACCTTCCATTGGAATGAATGGAAAGTAGACACAAGAAGGTGTGAATGCTGCTTTGAATACAGTGGAAAGAAAGTTACACTGGGCCATCAAAGTGGGTGGATTTATATTAATGAACAAAAAATGAGTGGAATGATGAAATAATTCAAGTGATTTCCAAAGTGATCAAAGCACACCCCTCCAGATGTAAAACAGCTGCTTCAAACTCAAAATGAAGCTCTGCAAAATTGAACTAGTTCAAACTCAAAATGCTCTGGGTGTCCCTAAGATACTGAATGTTTCTGTATTCATTCGAGTATTACTTCAATATTAGATGAACACAGAAACATTCAGTATGAAAGGAATAGTCTGTTCATTTTTCTTCTCCTAACAGAGGGACAACAGAATCTAGAACAAGGCAGGGGAAACTGACCCATTTCATTTATCATTGCCTTTCTATTTGGCCCTTTGATTTTATGACTCCTGATAATTTGCTTTACACCATAAGTTTATCTGGGCATTTAATCATCTCTGAGGGCAATCATTAGCCAGGCAACACAGTACAAGTTTACATTCCAATTGTTCAGAGGATAAATGCAAAAAATGGTTACCAGAATAGCAGAATTGGAAGGGACCTTGGAGGTCTTCTAATCCAACCTCCTGCTCAGGCAGGAAACCCAACACCATTTCAGACAAACGGCTGTCCAATCTCTTCTTAAAAACCTCCAGTGATGAAGCACCCACAACTTCTGGAGGCAAGCTGTTCCACTGATTAATTGTTCTCACTGTCAGCAAATGTCTCCTTAGTTCTAGGTTGCTTCTCTCCTTGATTAGTTTCCATGCATTGTTTCTTGTCCTGCCTTCTGGTGCTTTCTAAGATATTCTTTTGGCTAGAATTTGAATAGATCCTTCCAAACATATAGTTGCCATCAACATTATTATAACGGCT